TCATTTGTCCCTGTCACAACTGTGTCCCCAGTGCCAGCACAGGGCTTGGCACATAGTAGGTACCAAATGAATGAATGAATGAGTGAATTAATTTGGAGACAAAGCCTCAGGAGGGGTGGGAGCAGGGACAATTGGGGGCAGGAGAGGAGGGGGCAGGGGGCAGGGCCTGGGTGGGTGGGTGGCTTCCAGGAGTTTGGGGGATGAGGAAGCAGGAGCAGACTTTTGGCAGACTCCCGGGGCTCCCGCCCGGCCCCAGAAGGATGTAGGCGCCACAGCCAGACAGGAAAGGAAGGGGCGGGTGGGCATTGTCAACTTGCAGCGATCCAAGCTGAGGTGTGGCCCAGCATACTAATTAACAAAGGGCCAACATGTAACTAAATACATAAACAAATGTTTGAAACAAACATTAGGCAGAACACCACCACACCCCTGCTCCCCCCGCGTGCCCTACCCCCTCTTCTCCAGCTGCAAGGTCATCCCGACCTGGGCCTTGGAGATAGAAGGGCCAGGCTCCAAAGCTGGGGCTGGGCCTCGTGGCCCTCCCTCCCCGCTTCCTCCTCCTCCCTTCTCCTTCCACTCCCCTTGTCCCCGCCGTCCTCTTCAGTTCCCTTCCCTTGTCCCCTTCTCCTGCCCTCCCAAGATCCAGTCGGCTTCCCAGACTCCGCCTTGCATTTTCCAGTATCTCTTTCCATCCTCCTGTCTCCTCCCCGCATCTTGGGGAAACTGAGGCCCAGAGCGGTGAGTTCAAGCACAGGGGGAGGGGCGAGGCCCCAGCCTCCCCAGTCCCAACAACGTAAGCCATTTAAATCTCACGATAACCCTATGAGCTGAGGACTATTATTGGCCTCCTCTTACGGATGGGGAAACTGAGGCCCAGAGCGGCGACGCACCGGCGAGTAACCGATGGGATTCGAACCCGTATGCACACAACACCCGGGTCCAGCTTCTTGGAGACGGCCGGGCAGAGCAAGACGACGGTTCTGCTGCCATCTGGTGGACACTCGCGGCAGTGCCGTTCAGACGGAATAGCCTCTCAACCTGACGTCCTGCCCAGGGAGGGGACCCAAGCCGGGGAAGGGCTGGCCAGGTTCCCTGGCCTCTCCCACAACCCATCCTGCCCCTCTCCCTCCAGTTTTCTGAATTTTCATGACCTAAGTGTCCACCAGGAAGGCACTGGCTAACTAACACTCTCCCGCCTGTGTTGGGCTGAAGATTTCTTCAATGCAAAAAGTTAATCGGCCAACCTTACAAGAAAGGGAAAGTTCTCACTTGGGAGAGCAAGGTGCTAATAACACCAAGGTCAAGAGTCTGGATCCCCATACTGGACACCCACCAGAAAAAAGAAAAGGAAGGGGAGGGGGAGGGAGGGGAGGGAAAGATTCTTCAGGCTGAAAACTAGGGACCCCAAACGTTTTTCAAATCCATGTGTACAACCAAAGACCACACATAAAGATGATCACCCGGGGCTGGCCAGTTAGCTCACATGGGAGAGTGCCATGCTGAGAACACCAAGGTCAAGGGTTTAGATCCCTTTACCAGCCAGCTGCCAAAAACAAAAAAAAGATGATTATGTGGTTATAAAAAGCAACATAAATGCATGTTTCTTCACTTCTTATCTCTTAAATCATTTAAAAATGAATTGTATAAAAATATATTAGTTGTATTTGGGGACCTATGTTTGACAATAACAGCACAAAGGAGGCGAGGGAGTCACGCTCTGCTGGGATAAGGAAATGTCACCAGATGGTAACTAATCTGCAAAGACAAATAAAGAGAAACGGAAATGCAAAATAAGAAAATTAATAGAACAAACTCTATAAATATATACTTGCTGTCCTTTATTTTTTCAGCTTCTTTAATAGACATGAAATTGTATTAAGTGGCTAGCCAATTAGCTCAGTTGGTTAGAGCACGGTGTTGTAACACCAAGGTCAAGGGCTCAGATCCTCATACCGGCCAGCCGCCAAAAAAAAAAAATTGTATGAAGTAATAATTACAACAATGTATTGTTGGGTTTGTAACATACGTAGACGTGTATAACAATAATAGCACAATAGTAACAATAACAGCACAAAAGAAGATGGGGAAATGGGCTGTATGGCAGTAACATTTCTATATCTCATTAAAATTAAGGGAGCATAAATCTGAAGTAGACTCCAAGTTAGGACATTTATTGTAGGGCTGGCTGGTTAGCTCAGTTAGTTAGAGCACAGTGTTATAACACCAAAGTCAGGGGTTCAGAACCCTGTAACAATAAGCTGCCAAAAAAAAATTTTTTTTCCAAAGGACCCAGAAAAGCCAAAACAATCTTGAAAAAGAAGAAAGTTAGGGCCGGCCCGGTGGCTCACTCGGGAGAGTGCGGTGCTGATAACACCAAGGCCCCGGGTTCGGATCCCATATAGGGATGGCCGGTTCGCTCACTGGCTGGGCGTGGTGCTGACAACACCAAGTCAAGGGTTAAGATCCCCTTACCGGTCATCTTTTAAAAAAAAAAAAAAAAAAAAAAAAAAAAAAAAAAAGAAGAAGAAGAAAGTTAGAGAATGCACACTTCTCAATTTCAAAACTTTCTACAAAGCTACAGTGAACAAAACAGTATGGTACTGGCATAAAGACAGACATATAGATCAGTGCAATAGAATTAGGAGCCCGGAATTAAACACATTTATTTTCAACAAGAGAATTTAGTGGGCGAAAGAATAATCTTTTCAACAGATGGCGGTGGAACAAATGGATATCTGTATGTAAAAAAATTAATTTGAACCCCAACCTCATACCACATACAAAAATTAACACCAAATGGATCAAAGAGCTAAAATAATAGGGCTTGCCCGTGGCTCACTTGGGAGAGCATGGTGCTGACTGCACCACGTCAAGGGTTAAGAACCCCTGACCGGTCATCTTTAAAAAAAAAAAAAAAAAAGAGCTAAAATTATTACATTCGTAGAAGAAAACATAGGCATAAGTGGTTTAGGCAATAGTTTCTTAGGTATAACACCAAAAGCACAAGCAACAAAAAGAAAAAATAGATAAACTGGACTTCATCAAAATTTAAAACTTTTGTGCTTCAAAGGGCTCCATGAGGGAGTAAAAGGACAATCCACAGAATAGAAAGTTTACAAATCATATATCTGATAAGAAGCTTATATCTATAGAATACATAAAGAACTCTTACAACTCAATAGTAAAAAGACAACTCAATTTTAAAATGGGCAAAGGATCTGAACAGACATTTCTCCAAAAATTATATACAAATGGCCAATAAGCACATGAGAAGATGTTCAAGATCATTAGCCGCTAGGGAAATGCAAATCAAAACCACAATGAGGGGCCGGCCCTGTGGCGCACTCGGGAGAGTGCAGCGCTGGGAGCGCAGCGACGCTCCCGCCGCGGGTTCGGATCCTATATAGGAATGGCCGGCGGGTGACACCACACCAAGGTTTGCGATCCCCTTACAGGTCACGAAAAAGACAAAAAATAAAAAATAAAAAAAAACACAATGAGATGCCACTTCACACATCCAGTAGGATGGTTATAATAAAAAAGAAATATAATAAAAATGTTGCTGAGGACTTGAAGAAGTTAGAACCCTCGCACATTGCTGGTGGGAACGTAAAATGATGCAGGCATAAAAACGTAATTTTTGCAGGCAAAGAATTAGGATATGACCTAGCAATTCCACTTCTAGCTATATACCCAAGAAAAATGAAAACATACATGGACACAAAGATGTGTATGCAAATATTCTTAGCAACATTATTCAACATAGCCAAAAAGTGGAAAAAACCTAAATGCCCATCAATGGATGAATGGATAAACCAAATGTGGTATATCCATGCAATGCAATATTGTTCAGCAATAAAAAGAAATACTAATGCACGCTACCACGTGGATGAACCTTGAAAACACTGTACTGAGTGACAGAAACCAGACACAAATGACCTCATTTTGTACGATTATGTGAAATGTACAGAAAAAGCAAATCTATAGAGGCAGAAAGTAGATTCGTAGTTGCTTAGGGCTGGGGGAGGAAATGGGGAGAGACTGCTAAGCCTAAGGGGTTTCTTTTGGGGAGGATGAAAATGTTCTAAAATTAGGATATGCACATATTAAATATACATGAATGTGCACATTCATTAAATAATATTAAAATTGTGCACACATTAAATATATATAAATGTATATCTGCAAATATACTAAAAACCATTGAATTGTACCTGTTTGGGGTTTTTTGTTTGTTTGTTTTTTGCGACTGTCCTATACAGGGATCCGAACCCGTGATGACCTGTATAATTTAAATGGGTGAATTGTATGGTATGTAAATTATATCCCAGTTAACCTATTATTAATTTTTTAAATTAAAAAATGCTAATTGGGCTCAGATGTCACCTCCCCCAAGAACCCTCCCCCCCAAAAAATAAACGCCCCTATATATTCTCTTTCCTCTTTGCTTTACTTCATTCATAGCCTATTCTCAGTGAGTTGTTTGTGGTTGTTTCCTTTTCCGTCTTCAGTCTTCCCACCAAGAGTGCTTCTTTCTGCCTGAACAAATGACTAAGCCCGGAGCCCCTCAAGGTGGGGGCTGGATCTTGATCAATACGTGACTCGAGACCTCCATAGCACATCTCCCGGGAAGAAGCCCCGAATGGGAAGAAGCGCGGGGATGTCATCCTAAACCCCAGGAGGTCCCGTTCAGCTCTCACGCTTCCCGGGGCAGAGGGCCACTCGGACCTGCCACCGGGACCGCCCGAGTGCCTACAACTCCCGGCGGACCGTGCGCGCCGACGCTCCTTGACGGCAACGGTGGAACAGGCGGGGCTAGCCGCGCTACCTCCTGGGAGATGTAGTCTCGCCGTGAAGAGGGGCAGGGTTGGGAGTGGTGGACGGATCCGGAGCCAATGAAAAAGCAGACTTCCTTGAGCGCGGGGCCTAGAAGCCAATGGGCGCGCGGCATCGAGACGGCGGGACTTCCGGCGGCAAAGTCATGGTGAGCGGCTGCGCGAAGGTGGGCACTTCCTTTTGGTGGGTGGAGGCCGGCACGGAGAGTACACCATGAAGGCCTCGGGAACTGTAAGGCAACCGCGGAGGGGTCGGGGACCGGGGGACGCCGCGCGGGATGCATGGGAGGCCCGGGGGTGGGGGGCGTGGGCCGGGCCGGCGGTGCGTGCTCCCGTCCGGGTCCCCCTCGACTGCGCGCCGCCCCCTAGGTGCGGCCAACATGGCGGCCATGGCGGGCGCCGCGTGGGGAGG